TCCGTACCCTTGCTCACCAGACCACTCACAGAGACATCCGTACCCTTGCTCACCAGAACGCATACGTCGTTGGAGGGCTTGAGCGCGCCCAAACGCGTGTGCACCATCAAGGTCAGGGTTTAGGCTTCGCAATTCAGGTTTAGGACTCAGGGTTTTCGGTTTACGTATGGCAAAGTTGCCTTGACAGGTGAGCTGTGCACTATACGCGGCAGAGTGGCACGCAACAGTCTCCTCTGCGCAGGGTGGCACACGCTCACTCACACGCATTAAGTGGGCGCATGCATGCTCACCGAGACGTAGATGGCTTTGGAGAGCTTGAGTGCAGCCAGGTCCTCGTGTGTGATAAGTTGATTATTTAGTCGCCTCAAAAATCGACTTGTCCTCCTGCATCACCAGCGCACCCACCTGTGAGGGCAGCACACCTGTGTACTGTACGCTACAGAGTGCCATGCACTCAGCAGCATGAACAAGGAGTGGGCGCATGCATGCATGCATGCAGAGCCACCCACGGTATTCAATCCTACCACCCACACATACCGACACGTACCTACGCATAGATGGCTTTGGAGAGCTTGAGCGCGGCCAGGTCCTCGTGCATCACCCGTGGAGGGCCGCACACCCATGCACTGTACGCGATAGAGTGCCATGCCATGCACTCCTGGCATGCATAAAGTGGGGGCATGCGGGCTCACCGACACATAGATGGCTTTGGAGAGCTTGAGCGCATCCAGGTCTTCCTGCATCACCAGCGCGCCCACCGCCGTTGACGGACGCAGGCGCCCCAAACACGCGTCCACGTGCTTGTCGTACGCGCACCCGTCCAGATTCAGTGCACCGGAAGCCTGTTGGGGTGGGGGAAGGAAGGTAGTCAGAGCGGTAGAGGCAGGAGAAGGCGGAGAGGCGGAGAGGCGGAGAGGCGGAGAGGCGGAGAGGCGGATAGGCGGAGAGGCGGAGAGGCGGAGAGGCGGAGAGGTGGAGAGGTGGAGAGGCGGAGAGGCGGAGAAGCGAGCCGGCAGATGGACAGTTAAATTAAAAGGACGGTGTGTAATGTGGGGCAGGGGATGAGTGAATGAGGCGAGTGAATGAGTCAATGGGGAACTTAGATGAGTGAGTGGAGGACGCAGGCACGGGAAAATGTTGAATTAGCACACCTGGGACTGAGCTGAGGGGGAGAGGTAGCGGCGGAAGGGCAGAGGGGTGCGCTTGGTCTTTCTCCTGCTGCCTCGTGGGCACTCCTTGAGCATCACCTGCAACGGAGCTCGGTGGCAAGGCGTGCAGAGGAATGCAGAGGAATGAGGAGGCAAGGCATACAATTGTGCGGAAGGAGTTTCACAATAAAAAAGGGGATGAGCGACGGGTAAGAGTACAGATATTGTGCTCTTTCTGCAAATCATCACAGCCCATCACAGCCCATCACTGCCCACGACAGCCCACCGCAGCCCACCACAGCCCACCACAGCCCACCACAGCCCATCTCAACGGCTCACCTGCTGTGGCGCGGGCAGCCTGTTCGTGAGGTCGCTGCTGGCCATGCGCACATCGCGCGCCTCTCCGCTCACCAGAGCCCATTACAGCTCACCACAGCCGACCACAACTGCTCACCTGTTGCGACGTGTGCAACCTCGCCGTGAGGTCGCTGCTGGGCATGCGCACGTCGTGCACCCACACGTCGCGCGCCTCTCCGCTCACCGCGCTGTCCGCCACGTCCCCCGGGGGGGTGGCCATGCTGCTGGCGGGGCGGAAGAGGTGGCGGAAGGTGGTGGCGGGCAGGTGGCGGTCGGCGGGCCACACGGCGAGCGTGGGCGCGCCGGTGAGAGCCGTCAGCGCGTACGCCGCGCACACCGCGTGCACGCGCTGTGCCAGCGCGCCCTGCGGGGAGGGGGGAAGGGTGGGAGAGGTGGGGAGAAGGGGGGGAATGCGCCTGAGTGTGTGCTGCCTAAACGCGTGCACGCAGCCTCACAGCGAGCCACGTGGGGGGTGAGGGGAAAACGGAATAGAAGAAGGGGTGCTAAACGGACGAAAGATGGATGAGAAGCGCACATGCCACGATTGGCGCCCATCAAACACGCCCGTCATCTCTCTCCTCGCTGCTGCGCGCGCCATGCTCTCCGCGCTGAGACAGCGCAACCTGGGGCAGCCTGCGCGCCGCCTTCACATCACTGCACCGCTGTGTCAACTCCCCACACATCATTCCCCCCCACATCATAGAACCTTTTCGGCCACCACGTTCACTCAGCCGCCCATATTCAACGAGCAGTTGATGAAGCCATGCTGTTGCCATTGCGTCTGCCAGCTTCGTTGGTCCCATTCTTTGACCTTCGCACATTAATACATACCTTGCTCCATGGAGTTCCAGTGTATCTTACTCCATGGCAATCGTACGTTTGTACGTATCTTACTTCACGACATTCGTACGTTCGTACGTATCTTACTTCACGACATTCGTACGTTCGTACGTATCTTACTTCACGACATTCGTACGTTCGCACGTATCTTACTTCACGACAATCGTACGTTCATACGTATCTTACTTCACGACATTCGTACGTTCGTACGTATCTTACTTCACGACATTCGTACGTTCGTACGTATCTTACTCCATGGCATTCGTACGCTTTCTACTCCATGACATTCGCACGTACCTTCTCATTCGTACGCTCCTCATTCCATGGCAGTTGTACGTGTCTTAAAGAGCTGCAATACCCGCCAACCCTCATCGTCCACCGAATTCGCATCTAACTTCCCCTTCGCGAGCTCACTTTGCCCTGCATTCGCTCACCTCGCCCTGCATTCGCTCACCTCGGCCAGCAAGAGCGCCTGCGGTTCAGCGCAGTCGACGGCGCCGGATCCGCCCTGGCAGCGCCACAGCGACTTCACATCGCGCTCCTTGTCGTCTTCCGACATCGACTCGACCGCTGACGTCATCGACTCCTCCTCCTCTGCCTCCTCTACACCCGAGCTTCTCCTTTGCGACGATAAATTATCCGCGTTAATAGGTGAATCTAGCTCAGCGGATAAGGCGAGCTTAGCAGCAGCTAACTCCCTGCCATTCTCCGCTGCTGCTGCATCAGCCACCTGCTGCTCCTCCATCTTCCCTGCATCGCTCTTAACCGTTTCCGAAACACTGCTCGCGCTTTCCGAGACTGAAACTCGTGACTCCAGTTTCCCGGCCTCAGCGGCCTCCTTGATCTCTCGCCGCGCGAGGGACGGGACCTCGAGGATTGGACAGATGCCGGGCTCGCGCGACCACAGGCACGGCACGATGGGCTTTAAGACGAGAACGAGCAGCAGCGCTGCGCCGAACCCTCTGACTATTCGAAACACGCTACTAGAGTGTTTCTTCTTGCCTGTCATGGCTGCAGCTGCTAAGCTGTACGCTGTCGGTCAAACAGGGATCTGAGCCTGCATCAATTTCGGAGGCTCCTGGAAGAATAAATTTAATGTCAAGCGTGAACCCACGACCGCATCGAGAAAACGTCGCGATATCGCTCCCGGTTCTTAAATGTCGGCTCGACGCTTCTAGAAAGCACGGGATGGGGTGGACTGGGCTCGATTGCTGTTAGGGTGGATACTGCCCTAAGCTCTTCCTGCCTGCTTCTCACAAAGCCCAGTAATAAGTTACGCGACGGAACGGCAGTTCAAACAGTCAGTCAACTCATTCTTCCGATGTCACTTGTTACGAAGTCAGGCCATCTCAGACAACTTCAAGTGATGGAAACTCGAATGGACCTTGGTGTCAGTTTCGTGGTAAGAGAGTGACCACTAACGATATTCAGAGCCTTGTTCGGCAGGCCCCTAACTGGTACTTTGGGAGAGAAACTTGGGAGTGACCTCTTTCCCTCTTGGGGTGAGAGCTAGCGGTTCTTATCAGCCCATTCGCCAGACTTGCAGCATGTCACTGGTCACGACCTTTCGTACCCTGACCTGCGACGATGTCGGGTCGGGTCGCAAGGCCAGTGACGACAAACAAAAGTCGCCTTGCTCAGTGGTTGTTCCCGTGCGACGGGGAGAACAGACTGAACGATTTTCGGGAGGCAGGAATTTGAAAGAGCTAGGTTCGGGTCGGGGGAGGCGTGGTTAGGCGAGACAAGACAGGGGGGAACGGGGTATAGGCGAGTGGTATGGTAGGTCCGTTGGGTTTGCGCCAAAGCTCCAGCAGGGCCTCCCGCCGTCGAAGGTGATTGGGCGAGGGGATGCTCGGGTTGAAAGTTTCCCTGACAAGGCTGGGAACAAAAAGGTTACAGTGCGACAAATTTGGGAACTCCGCAATGTCGTCTTTCAAGCACCTCTTCTGACACATGCTTCTGGTGTCGCGCCAGTGTACTGGTTGGTGAACTTACCAATCATGAGCCTCCAAGACCAGAAGCGACTGGTTTGGCTCCTCCTCAACGAGCCAAGCTGTTTGACTCGTTGGACGTGAATAGTCATGAAGCTTCGGTGCAGTAGGTGCCAGACAGTCCGAACGAAGCTCGGCTCGGGCTGGAACGAGGTTCCGAGCCGAAGTCACAGAGCGCAGAGGGAGGGAGAGGCAAGGCGAGGAATTTCGCGCGTGCGGCGCGGGAGGTACAGTAGCGGTGCGCTTGCCCTTCACGGCACAACTCCCTCCCAAGTTCAACCCACAACCATGCACAACACCCTCACCTTTTCGTCCCTGGTTCTGAATTTCAAGGCTACCTCCTCATCCTACATAGCTGAGTTATTCGGCCCCTACTCCCGTCGTGAAGTACCAGTTTTTTGTAGCCTCTAGGTTGTATTTGTTTTTGCAGTTGCGAGTGCCGTGATCAAGCGCCTGCGAAGCACGCGTTTGCTTCTGAATTAGCATCCACCACGCACAACAAACATCACCGTTCAACCAAAAGTGCTCCTTCAGCACACCCACATTGACGCGATCGTCCTAGCTCATTAGGTGCCGCCGAAACCTTTCTCACTGTGCAACATAATTCCGTCCGTGGAGGGGTGGCACACGCGGCTCACCAATCATAATTCCGTCCGCGCCAATCATGGTGTTCTTCCACAAGCGCAAAGCATGCTCAACTCCAGACCGGCCGCGCGCCGCGTCATGGGAGCGGTGCGTGGTGATGGTGCTGCTGCCGCTCATGGTGCTCTACACCGTGGGCCACTGGATGGCCCCCTCGTGCAACCCTAACGTCGCCGTCATGCTCGAGAGCCGCTCGCTCGCCATGAGCGCGAAGAAACTTTCTATGGGCTTCTGGCAGACCACGGACGAGTCTGACAGGGAGAATGGCGACGCGCGCTCGAAGCTGTTTCTAGACGAAGACCCGTGGAAATGCGACGCGAGCGATGCGATCGGCGATTGCCCTGTGCGACGAGCCGACGCGGTCTTCGTGGCCGCGGTATGTGGGGATTGGAGGGCTGCTGAGGTCACCATCTCTCGCGCCCCACGGAGTTCTTACCACTTCTGAGAATACACCTCTCGTGTCTCACGGTCGGGGTTGTGAGAGGCACCGCCCACGCCTTGACGCTGTCAACGGCGTCGCCCCCTTGTTTTCCTATTGCTGTTCAATGTCCTCGCGTTCTCTTAGCTCCGAAAATAGCGGATATCATCGTATGTACGAACAAGCGGCCTCCCTCTTCTGACCCTCCCGCCCCCCATTTCCCCCTCTTTACGACCCGCCCCTCCCTCATTCACTCCGTCCCTTGGCAAATTCTCCCTCAGGGCTCTGTGTCGCAGCGTGTGCACGCGGTGTGCGCGGCGTACGCGCTGACGGCCGTGACCAACATGCCGACGCTCGCCCTCTGGCCCGCCGACCGCCACCTGCCCGCCACCACGTTCCGCCACCTCTTCCGCCTCGCGCACGACCCCGCGCCTTCCCCCGCGTCATCCCGCGCGCGCGGCGAGAGCGGGCGCGAGGGGGGCGTGTGGGTACAGGACACGCCCGCCGAGGCGGGCATGTTGAGGCGCGCGCTCAAGGGCCGCCGACGGGTACGTTTGGCTGTTTCCGTTACCCTTGCCGTGCCCTTGCCGTGCCCTTGCCGTGCCCTTGCCGTGCCCTTGACGTGCCCTGCGCGCTCGAGGGCCGTCGACGGCTGCGTCGTGCTCGTTGCTCCCGCTCGCCCTTCCCAGTCATTCGTCGTTTGCTCGCATCGCCCTTGCGATGCCCTTCTGTTGACACCCCTCCGCGCATCCTTCCGCCTGTTTCTCTGCGCACCCTTCCGCCTGTTTCTCTGCGCTGGTTACTTCCCCCCTGTTATTCTCCGCCCGTTACTCTCCGGATCTAACCTCCCCGTCCTTCGCATCATCATCCCACGTCCGCGCTCCCCTCAAGTCTCTGCCCGCTCCTCTCGACCTCTACCCCTCCGCCTCACCCCCCTCATCCCCCGCATCCATATCCCTCGCATCCCCTTCCCTTGCATCAGGTGGCGTTCATGCCATGCAAGAACACGACGGACGGCAAGCCCGCGCCGTCCGCCAGCGGGCTGCCGTTCAAGGTCTTTCTGTCGCCGGCCGTGCGGGAGAAATCCACCGGCCCCCTGCGCGTCGACGCGTGCGCGTTCGAGCGCGAGGTGGACTCGTGTCTGGCCGCGATTCGCCCGTCGGCCGCCGTGGCGGCGATTGTGGTGGAGGAGGACCTGGCGCGCGTGGCGGCGTCCAGTGCCGTGCTGGTTGACGTGAGTGTTGGAGAGGGGTGCAGTGCGGTGAGGGGTGGAGTGGAGTGCGGTGAGGGGTGCAGTGCGGTGAGGAGTAGGGTGACTGCGGTCAGGGATGTTCTCAACCGATTCCCCCTGCCTACTCCTTTTCTTTGCACCCATCCTTTCCCCAGCCACCTTCCTTTCCCTTTCCTCATTTCCGCTGCCCCCCTCCTTTCCCCTGCCCCCCTCCTTTCCCCCTGCACACTGCCAACAATGGCACCTCTCTCCTCCTCGCTCTCTTCACCCACCAGCAACTGACACAAGGCGTGTGCTCCGGCTGCACCGCCAACTCCAACCGTTCTGCACCGCACTGCGCCATGCGGCGAGTGACAATGGAGTATCTGTACGACCCAGCAGTGAGCTTCACAGCGGGAGGCCTCAACACGTCGGACGTCACGGTGCTCAGCAGCTACTTCAGCCCTCTCAGAACCCCGCTCGTGCTCAAAAGCACCCAGCAGCGGAATGCGTCGTGCCGCGTCGGGGGAGTGGAGGGGAGGGAAGAGGGGGAGGGTGAGAGGAGGGAGTTGGTGGAGAGTGGGGAGGAGGATCGGGTGGTAGGCGGAGTGAATGGGAGCGTGGTGGCGGGGGGAGGAGGTGCAGGGCTGGTGGTGCAACGCGGGTTGGATCGAGCGCTTGGGGCGCAAGTGACGAGGTGCAGCCAGCTGCAGGTGAGCTGCCATGCTCCAGGGCGCACGGTTCTGAGAGATCTCGTCTCAGGAGGGAACGATGTGAGGGACCAAGTGAGCGGCGATCTGAGCAGTGGCGCACTCACTCAGCTTCCGTTGTCCGTGTGCTTCAATATTCTAGGTCATTGTTATGCTGGACTATTCTAGTCTCTCCTCACGAGCGTCAGCCTTTTCTCCTCCCATGCAGGTGGCAGAGCTGTTCACGCTCAGCTTCGCCCGGGGGCTGCTGGCAGTGAACCGATCCTCCATAGAAGCGCGCTTCGTTACAGCGCAAGGCCGCGCGCGGTCGGCGTCGTTCGGCGTGCACCGGTCGGTGTGCGAGTCGGTGGAGCTGCGGCCAATTATAAAACAGAAGTGGGCCATGTTCACTCAAGTGGAAGGTGAGACGCCTCTCACTGCCTTGTGAAAGACAGCCCACCTGTTGCTCTCTTGAGTTCAATCATTTTCCCTTCTCGCCCCATGAAAGGCATGTCACACGCCTCGCCAGAGACTCTAAAGCTGGTGGGTGCATCAAGCCCAATGCGCTCCACGGCCCATGCCCATTCCTTCCCCCTCTCCATTCCTCCTCCCCTCCCATTTTTTCCCCCTGCCATGCCTTCTTTCGTGCGCCCTTCTCCAGAAAAACTTAAGCTCATGGTGTGCACGATGCCCAAGGTAGCAGCCAACTCGTGGCTCATGTGGCTGCGCGCCATGCTGGGGCAGCCGCACCCAGAGGACCCCATTCTCGCGCTGGACCCGCGGCGGGCGGGGTGGCACATGCTGACGCTGCACTTCACGGAGCAGCAGGCGGTGCAGCAGGTGACCCGCCCGGACTTGTTCAAGTTCACCTTCGTGCGCAACCCCTTCTCCCGCGTGCTCTCCGCCTACTCCAACAAGCTCGTCATCACGGATGCGCCCCATAACAAGACCGGGCCCGGGTCCAGAGAGTATTGGAACGAGGTGAGTCTGGGTGTGGGGTTGAGCTGTGCTTGCTGCTGCGTGTTGCTGACCGCTTGTGCTTGCCATCCCCGGGAGCCTTTTCAAGTGGGCTGCATGTCTCATGCTGCATGGAATCTTCAATCTCGCCTGTCTTTGTCCTCTACCCCTGCCTCTCCGCTCCACGCACAGCAATTCTTCAAGTACATTCGGCCGCATTGGGAGAAGGTGAAGGGAAAGGACGACCTGGTGTCGTTCCCTGACTTTGTGAAGCTCGTGGCGAAGCTCATGCAGAACCACCGCTGGCGCATGGACCGCCACATTGCATCCCAGGTGAGGCCATGCGGACAGGCACATGGCATGGCAGGTGAGGCCATGCGGACAGGCACATGGCATGGCAGGTGAGGCCATGCGGACAGGCACATGGCATGGCAAGCCCATACAGCGATAGCAAAGCAGGTCATGGCACGCACTGGTCACCGCATGCTCTCCAGCTCGTCAGCACATGCTCTCTCCTATGCTCTGGCCAATGGTGTGACAATCTCTCTTGTCTGTTCTATTCTCTTTGTTTCGTTATAATCTGCAGTCGGACATTTGCTTCATGGACAAGATCAAGTACGACTTTGTGGGGCGGTTTGAGAATCTGGAGGAGGATGCCAAGTATGTGGTGAACCGATTCGGAGGCGACCATCTCGACATCTTCAACTTCGGGGTCAACGCGCACCAGACCCGCGCCGACACCAAGCTTGCGAAAAAATACGACAAGGTTCGCTCGTTTTTGTCTCTTGAGCCAGGTACACTTTTGGAAATAGGAACGCGGATGGGGAAGGCATGTGTGTCAGACAAGGAGACAACTATTCGAAATCGTCCAAACGGGAAGTTTGTCCTCCAAGTGTTCCTTATTCCTTTGCTGACATCAACTTTCTTTTCCATTCCCCATTGAATCCCCAGGAAACATACGAGCTGGTGAAGCGAGTGTTCGCGCGCGACCTACACATCCCTCTCAACAACATCACTCAACAAGCCCCCTCTGTCCTTGTGGACATGTTCGAGACAAAATAAAGGAGTTTGTTATAACTACTGAGTTACCCTAAACCTCTTACAGGATTGCCTCGTTGCCGAACCTGCCAAAGTACACATGCTTATATTTGCATGTGTCATTGTAGGCTAGATTGGGTTGTGCTATAGATAGTATGGATTGCTACATGCCCTCAATATAGGACCCTTGATTATTAACATGGTATCATGCAAGGTTTAGGACTCACCTCCCCTAGCTAACTCGGCTGCCCCTGTAGCGGCACCCGTCGGCAGGCCTCACGTTTTCAGAGTAAATTACTCGGTTTCTCTGAAAATCAGAGTCATTTTTGAAAATAACTCTGTACCCGCTGGGTAATTTTTTTGGGACTTCCGATTTCTCTGATTTGTCAGAGTTATGCTGTAGTTTACTCTGAGGCCTCTGGGTTGTTTTTTCGGGGACCGAATTTACTCTGTATAGGAAAACCTGCCGGCCCCCTTCCCCCGCCCCCCTCCCCTCCCCACCCCCCCCTGCGTTTAGCGGGTTTTCCCCGAATCGTCGAGATCATTCTCCTGATTTCTGTCGTGTGTTACCGTAATACCCCGGATAGAAGCGCATCTGCGCTTATAATAAAACAGTGTTTTTTAGGGGGGTGCGCTTATAAATGAGTCAAAATTATAAGCGCATGCGCTTATATAATAACAAACACAGAAATATGTTATAAACGCACCAAACTGTGCATTAGAGTCTTGCAATTTCATTCAAATCGAAATGTGTGGAGCGTTCTGAATCAGAATCTCGCGAGGGCGATTCTCTGCTGGCGCACAAGGGCAAGGACACGTCACTTTCGCATAGGAAAGTGTCATGCTCGCACCATCAGAGTGTACGAACCAATAGCTTGCAGTCGCTCGTTCGCATCGCACAGGCTTGCCCCAGTGTACGACCAATAGCCTGCAGTCGCTCGCTCGCAGCGCACAGACAACAGGTGTTCCCGAGCCCCCCTGTCAGGTCAACTTCGCGCTGTTGCGCTTTTCCTGAGCGAGCCCGCCCTCGAGGGAGTCAAACAGAGTAGAAGTGGATGTGGACTCGCTTTAAAACGGGAAGTCGTTACTGTTTTAATCCGTTTTTTTGAAATATGTTTATACATGCGCTTATAATAAATCAGGGTTTTATAAGGGGTGCGCTTATAATTGAGGATCGGCCATAAGCGCATTGCTCCAGATATAAGCGCATGCGCTTAACATAGGCCTGCGCTTCTATCCGGGGCCATACGGTAGCGGCAATATGAGCGCTGATTGGCTACCGTAGTTTGACAACTTTCCCAACCAGCGCACGATGCCAGCCAGTCCCCTCTCTTTATGTCTGAAGTGAACGTCGACGTTTCCCGACGAAACTTTGAGGGACGTCGAGGAATCCTGACGGTCGGAACGCTCAGTCCGAGGGTTGAGATTCGCCAGCATTCCCCGACGAAACTGTACATCCGTCGAAATTTCACTTCAGACACGCTCTTAGTCAGATTATCGGTGCCGCCAACACCTCACTCTGAAACATCGTAGTGAGGGGGGAAACGTGGGCGACGCGGAAATGAAACACAATGCAAGTACAAAAGGCGTAAAAAAAACCTATTAAGGTCATGGTACACCAAACTTAACTAACATCAGAGTAGAGAAAAATATTACTCTGACGTGCCTGGTTTTTTTTTTTGAAAGCAGGCCCTCAGATTGGTTTGAGGGTATGCTGATCGATCAGCGTGCCCCGGCCAACAAGGTGTCCAAATCAGCGTTCACGGTTTTTTTTATACTGATTTTGCCAGTGTAAAAATCATAAGTAAACTGAACCAACAGTGTAATAACAAAAAACTATAGCTGAAACCCCAGTACAAGGTGTGTGGTGTTGTTGCTGTGATAGGTTCCAGCTATGGAAGTAATAGGCAGAAGTAGTAGCCATAGCTAGGAAAGCCCTAGCTAGGCAAGAGAAAGTTTAGGCAAAAGAGGGGGTTGCACTGGCAAGAATGAGGATACAAATAGCAAACCCTAGAAGGGTTGTACTCGCTATAGAGCACCCCACTACAGGCTAGAGCATAACATTCTAACACACCCCCATAGCCAAAGTGGGGTGTAATCAGCAGAGCAAGCAAAGCAGAACAAGCTCAGGGTGGATCACAATGTCACCACACATTCTGAGCACAAGTTCAAGAAGCAATAGTTTAAAGTTCACAATTATGAGCAAAGCTAGTGGTAGTCACAACGGGCAAGTGAGGAGGAGGAGGGACAGTGAGAGGAGAGGAGATAGGAGGCGACGGCTGAAGCTGCAGACACACGGGCAACATGAGGCACACTGGCACAGCGGCTACCCGAACAGCGCTCCGGACTACTGGAGTAACTGGCCCCGCGGCTAAAAGTAGCGGCAGACGAGCAACGGGCCCACGGGCGACTGGCACAGGTGGCTACGACTGGGCTACCGGAGCAACTCCCCGGACTACAGGTGCTGCTGGGGACACGACGGCAACCTCCGTTCAACTTTCCCAAACAGTCCCACCCCCCCTGACACACACCCGCTGCTACACCCCTAGCTCCACTCCCCCTTCACCCCCCCTTAGTACCACTCCAACGGCTCCAACAGGTCCACCCCCCCTCAGCGGCAGCTGCAGTAGCGGGAGACGGAGGAGGAGGAGGAGCAGGGAACGGCACACAGAAGCTGCACCCCCATACCCCCCACCCCCAAACCCTAATTCAGGAGAACGGGCAGTAGGAGGGGTGGGGTGCCATCAGAAGCACGGGGGACAGCGGGGAGGGCAGGGGCAGCGAGGAACGGGCCGCCCACGGGCCTGGCACAACCTCCCGAACCGCGCGCAGGCGGCCCGAGCCGCGCGCGGGCCTGGCGCCGCCCGCACGAGCCGCGCGCGGGCCTGGCGCAGCCCGTACGGGCCGCGCGCGGGCCTGGCGCAGTCCGTATGGGCCGCGCGCGGGCCTGGCGCAACCCGTACGGGCCGCGCGCAGGCCGTACGGGCCGCGCGCAGGCCACGACGGGCGACAGGGGGCGACGCGCGGGTCCCCGTCGCCCGTCGCAGCGCCTCCCGGGAGCGACGCGCGGCGTGACGGGGCAGAAACCCGCCGCGCGCCTCGGGGCGCACGGCGGGCTGAAAACCCTAATTTCGACGCCGCGCACCACGGGGCGCGCGGCGGACAGGGAGTAGCAGTAGCAGCGGAAGCAGTGAGGTGGGGCCCACAGGCCAGGAGCATATCGCTCTGATACCATGTGGAAGTAATAGGCAGAAGTAGGAGCCATAGCTAGGAAAGCCCTAGCTAGGCAAGAGAAAGTTTAGGAAAAGAGGGGGTTGCACTGGCAAGAATGAGGATACAAATAGCAAACCCTAGAAGGGTTGTACTCGCTATAGAGCACCCCACTACAGGCTAGAGCATAACATTCTGACACAAGCGAGGCTAAACACTTCGGCGCGCACCTGATATCTGTGCAGTGCATGCGAAAAAATGCCAAGTGTGTGGGTGGGGTCTCAGGAATCACGGGAAGGTACAGATTGTACATGCGTACCCTATCACCCCCCCCCCCCCCCCCCCCCCGCGGTCAACTCCGTTTCAGTGTGACTCACGTCACTATACTGATTCGTCAGTGTTTCTTGTAAAGAAACACGCAAAATGGTCAGTGTGACAAGGTAGGATATACTGAAATTTCAGTGCAAAATTGAAGCCTATGCTGAATTTTCAGGGATAACGAAAATCACAGCTACAAAATCAGCGTAATCAGCGAGTTTTATGCTGATATCTGAGGGCCTGTTTGAAAGTATAGGGTTACTCTGACAAATCAGAGTAAGGCGCAGGAACAACCCTAGATTTCAGAGTTGGGAAAAAAACTACTCTGGAAACCAGAGTACCTAAAATCCAAAAATAGGCCCTGCCCGTCGGCCTCTAGCGCCCCGCCCTACCATGCCCCTCTCGCACCCCCATCTCATACCGTATTCTCCCAGACATAACACCCGGGGGTATTATGATAACCACAGGGAAAAAAGGGGGGGGGTCCTCTCAACGGAAAATCCTATATAATACCCGGGTGGTTGTCAGAACATTATAGCTTATACATTTGTGTAGGCTACAGTGGGGTATCCCATAGGGGGTACAACCCAATCAAGGTTTCCTATATGTACTCACTTCATTCATAGTTCATTCATTCTCGTTCTAATTTCTTTCACATGGTTTCAGAGCGGTTACGCTCTCGGCCTGTGGGTACTACTGCTTCCGCTGCTACATGCTCTGTCGCACGCCCCGTGGCGTGCGACGCAGGCGCGCGGCGATTTGCACTTTGGCGCGCGCCTCGGGACGTGCGGCCTCTTTCTTTTCTGGCGCGCCGCCCGTCCTGGCCCTTAGACGCCCGCGCGCAGTGGTTATATATGGTATATTTTAATGCAAGAGGATTCTTTAATTAGACAGTTTGAGGCGAGAATGTGAGTTTTGGCGAGAATGTGAGTTTCGACGAGAATGTGAGTTTCACCTTTCGGGCCACTTGCAGCGGAAGATTCACCAGCGTGGCGACTTCCTAGAATGTGGGATGGGGGAAATGTCCACTTGCAGCGAAAGATTCGCCAGGGTGGCGACAACGAGATTGTGGGAGGGGGAAATGTCGGCGCATTCTAAGTGCAAGTACACGCAAAATTTCATCTAGGAAGCGATTCTCACGATATTCTCCTGTAAGGAATCAGACTTGATAACAGTTATAATAGGAATCCGTAAGAAAAGTGGGGTGTTATAGAAAATCATCCAAAAAGGGGGGTATAGTAGAAACGAGGTCGCCCATAGCACCCACCCCGCACAAGCTACCCGGAGGTGTACTATCATTGGGGGGTGTTTTGTCCGGGAGATTACGATAAACGGAAACATCGGAATGATGGATTAGGAAAGGAAGGGGATACAAATATGGAACTCTAACTGTGTTGTACTCTCTAATGAGTACCTCACTAAAACATAACAGCTATAACATTTGACATGCCCCCATAGGCTAAGTGAGGGACATCTCTCTATCCGAATCTCAAATG